TGAACAGACCTTATTTGAAATTGTCTGTGCATTACTTGTGTTCAGTAGCGCGTTTTATTTGACGTGATTATATCATGACGTCATATCGTTTATTGAAGCCTCCTATTACGTCGTTTTGTTCGAGCTAGTCAAGACATTTTCACCGCGTGTTTTTTTTTATTTATTTATTTTTTTTTTTTGCGAAACTGCATCTTTTCTGACATCTCATCCTCTCCTGGGAGGTAATCGCGCCCCGGGGCGCACCCCCGGACACCCCGTCCCGCGGTTCATTAATACATCACCCAGGTATTTGGGTCCAAGTCTCAGGCCACCATGAGGCCATAGATCAACCCCCTGGACGTCACGGCGTGCTCGAAACGTTCCACGGGACACAACACAAACAGGCTTAAAAACCATTTTCACTTTCGACCTGATTAATCGTCGGTGGGATTGGACACTTTTGTGTCCGTTGGTTTTTTGTTTGCCACGTGGGGTATTCCGAGGCTGCCGATATATCTTGATATGTCAATAAGGACAGGGCCGTTCATATTTTTTCTTCCATTTCGCCTCCCGGCCTCGGGGGCGGGTCCTGGCACGTCCCGAAGCCCTCGGAGGCGGCGTGGAATCGAAGGAGAAAAAAAAACGATTAAAAAAAACCTTCACGGTATTCGATTTCACTCCGTTATTAAAAATCGTCGACGGTGGGGGACAGACAACCGGCTTCTATTATTCGATCACGACGCATCGATAAATTACCTGGGAAATTGAAGGGTCCGCTAATACATATGGTTAGAGGGGCCTCGTAGCTCGATCACCGCGAGGCAAAAGGTTCTCGCCTTTTACTTTTTTTTACATCTATTTATGCTTTTTTTTATTATTATTAACCCTATCGGCGTACGCTCCACGGGAGGATGCACCGTGCATGTTAACTTATGCGCCTTTATGAACGCAACGTTATGATTATCCGGGCAAAAAAAGGACGACCCCTTGGGCGCTTTATCGAAACCGGCGAAAACTTTTTTTTTCTTGTCCTTTTTAATAATAAAACCACCCTCGTATTATGTTAACAGCGTTAAGTATATTAAATATATTGAAAAAACAATGGGTAATCGGTCCCACCCCCGGGCTCCGACGAGGAGGAAGTCGTCCAGGGACATTTAATCATAGATATTTTTTGTCCTCGACCTAGAATGATTATTCAGGACGACGTCTAGTTTCAAAAAGTGCTTTCGATTTTCAATTTCGCCTAGAGACCCTTCGCTCTTAGTTCATTCTTATCTGTGCTTCACAAACAAAAAACATGTCCTATCTCATGTAATATGGCGACTTTTTAAAAATAAATCGCGGTAAATTTTTTCTCTCCTCGATCCATGATGAAAAATAAAAAGATTAAAAAAATATTGACACAAACGAACATCAACTTTTAAACATAAAATACGTTAAGTTTGTTCTTAAGTCAGGCCATTTTTTATATTTTCTTTTCTCAACGTAGGATAATTATTGAAGACGACGTCTAGTTTCAAAAGGCGCTTTCGATTTTCAATTTCGCCTAGAGACCCTTTGCTGTTAGTTCATTCTTTTCTGTGTTTCACAAACACAAGATATGTCCTATCTCGTGTAATATGACCACTTTTTTAAAATAAATCTAGTACATTTTTATCTTATCGATCCATTATAAAAAACCGATAAAGAAAAAGACAAAAAAATTATATTGACACAAACACAAATGAAGTTTTGAAAGATCAATCACGCTAAGACAGATCCAAACTTATTTATTTGCCATTCAATATTTTCTGTCCTCGGCCTAGGATGATTATTCAGGACGTCGTCTAGTTTCATAATGCTTTTAGTTTTCAATTTCGCCTAGGGTCCTTTCGCTCTTAGTTCATTATTATCTGTGCTTTGCAAACAAAAAGACTGTTTATTGCTTAATTAAACTGTTTTATTTTTTTATAATTGTTCTAGGACGTGTTTGTATTGAGATAAAAAAATTGTTTTGTCTTTCATTTCTTCTTCCATCGAGTGTTTTTTTATTATTCAACTCTCTCTGCATATAAATATGAGAAATGTAAATAATGAAGACGTCGAGGTGTAATTCCGGGGGAGTGGGACACGTTTTGAAATTGGCCGGTGCTACCTCATTGGGCATTCAAAAGGCGTCAAGGGCATTATAGGCCGTCTAACGTTTGTACACGACTTTTGAAACATACATGCGAGCCGGACTAATTTGCTTCTCATATTTCGTACGATTTATCGCCCCGACGGCCCCCCCACCCTAGCCCTTGAACATTTCCAAGTCCGTAAAGTACCGGGTGGTGATAGACGATTCTCCTCGGTTTGATGACGTCACATTAGTCTATGGACCAAATAGAAATGGGCTTGTATGACGCGTTTCTACCTAAGGATGGGTATTGCAAGTTACCCGGAATTGATATATAGGGTGACGCAGATTTTTTTTTGTGGAATTTTGAGGTTCTTGTGGCTAATTTTATAACGGAAATGCGCGAATGCTTCGTTATTCATGAAACTGCCGCCGGTCGCCTTGACTGGGGAAATAAACAGAATAAACATCAAGAAAGAGAGAGAGAGAGAGAGAGAGAAAAAAAGAAATATTCGTGGGACCTAGATTTTTTTTGTGGTCTTGGCCTGTGTGTCCGAGGGATCGCATCCCCCAATGCCAGCATGTATTTATGGCCCGGTGACAATCCTCACCATTTTACTCATTAGACAGCCAAAGAAGGGAAAAGACAGAAGGGTTTATTCTCCGTTGTCTTTCCTTTTTTTACCCTTCATGGGACACACGGATATATGTTGGCTGTTACGTTTTTTTTTTGGTTTTTGTAGCGTCCCTCCTCGTTTCCACCGTGTTTTACGACTGATCTTGTTAGGGGCCCCGTGCATTCCGGGCGTGCCTTCGGATCCCGACGGGAACATAAACGCGAGCCGGGGGGGGGAGGGGGACGTGAATCAAAACCCTTTTTCCTATTCAACCCGGACGGCACATACCTTAAAACCGTAGGATATTATTTAATTTATAAAAATAAAACTCAGGAACCCCCCTCACCACCTCGCGAGAACAGATAAATCGGCTTGTTTTACTAACCGGCTGCACCCCCACCCTCAGATGCTTTAAAATGGCATTATCAAGTCCGACCGGAAGAAAAAACAACAAATAAGGTAAACAATTGGACTAACGTGACGTCATCAAATCGAATTGGAAAACTTCACGAACAAAACTCTTTAAACAGTTAGTTGCCTTTGAAAACTGCTATATGTAGATTATTATGACACCACCTCCCCCCCCCCACAAAAAAACTCAAATTTTTATTTTCCATCCTCATGTTTTTTTTACTGTTCTGACATTTAAATTGTACAATTATGAAAATAATACTATGTACAGGGTGATTAAATATTTGTTTCTTGTTAAGCCTGACTATTGTGACGTCACGTTAGTTCAAGCACCCCTTAAAATAAATTTAAAAAAAAATGCGCATTGAATCGCCAAATTTTATTTTTCGTTTGCATAATTTTTGTAAACGTTTAAGCCGAAAAATTATTCGATATGCAGGGTGTTTCAATATTTGTTTCCCGCTAAGCTTGGACTATCGTGATGCCGGTCCATGCCCCCACTCCCCCAAAAAAATCTGAGTATTCAGTCATTAATTTATTTTTATTTCGTATGATTTTTTTATTTGCTGACTTTTAAGATGGTAAAGAATACGATATACAGGGTTTTGCCAAAATTTTCTCGCTAGGTCTGTACTATTGTGACATCATGTTAATCCCAGTTTGAAAAAAAAATTGGTGGGTTCAACATCCCGAATAAAACGTGGAGTCATTTGTTTTCCTCGTCAGTTTTCATATTTCATCTGTCTTGTTTATGAAATTTCATAACACTGTAGCAGTGATATGACACGATATACCGGATGTTGCCTTTGTTCCTCGCTAAATCTGGACTATTGGGTCGTCGCGTAATTCCAACCTTCGAAAAAATTGGCTAGTACAGTCGTCGAGTTTTGTTTTGGCTTATCACGATTTTTCCCTTTTAACTTTCTTACATTAAAGCCGGTAAAACACACGATATATTGGGTGTTGCTAATTTTTCTCTCTTAATATGGACTATTGTGACGTTACGTTAGTCCTAGGTGAAAATAATTCGTCACTTTTCTTGTCGATTTTTATTTTCGCACCTTGTGTTTTCATTTTTTTTTCAAACCTAAGCCATGAAATATAGAGTTTTTGATTTTTTTTCTCATAAAGCTAAGACTTTTGTGACGTCACGTTAGTCAAAACAAAAAAATTGGCCGGTTCAGTTTTCACTTTTTGTTTACACTTATCGGGATTTTTCACTTTTATTTTTCTGACTCTTGAGCCGGTACATGGCACGGTATAGTATACAGGGTGTTTCAAATTTTTCCCCTGAAGTCTGGATTTATGTGACGCCATGTTAGTCCAAGCTTGGAAAAATCAGGCTTGTTGTTTCTTCTCGTCACGAGCTGTTTTTCTGTATTTTTAAGCCGTGAAACACGATGTCCAGGGTGTCAACGGATATATCCCCGCATTATTCAAAAACTGTGGACTATCGTGACGTCACTATAGTCCAAGGTTGCAATAAATTCGGATTTTATAGATGGGTTTCGAACAGTTTTCACCCTCGCATCGTTCATTTCCTTCGTTTACCCGTGAAGACAGTTCGGTTCGGTTGGTTTCAAGTATCATCATGGACATAGAGACAATATTCTGAGTCTATTTATGCGTTTCCCCTCGTCGCACTGTCGTAATATGAGCATAATGAGGCATTGGCGAACTAAGAGACTATGGTAATTCTCCTTCTTGCCCCGGGGATGAGGCATGAGTCAGCAGGGGTCAACCTGTCACGGGGATCATGTTTTATAAATAGGGGCCCCGTTGAAGAGGGAACAAGAAAGGCGTTTAATTTTTAATAGCCTTCGCGTCAATTTGTACTTTTTGATCGATCGTTTTTTTTTTTCTATATCTTATCTTCTTTTTTGTGTTTTTAGTCGCTCCAGTCGGCTGCGCGGCGTGCCGGTACGAGCTGCGCGAACTGCAAGACGACGACGACGACGCTATGGAGGCGAAACCAGAACGGCGAGCCTGTCTGCAACGCCTGCGGCCTCTACTACAAGCTGCACAACGTGAGTTTTTTAAAAAATTTATTTTATGTTTTCCTCCTTGGGAAATTTTCCCAAACCCCCTCGAAGGCCGCGTGGAAAAGGGAAGAAGGCCTGGAAGACAGCCCGTCTGGAGCCTACGGCTGCGCCCTTCCGTCCTTACGACAAAGAGGCCCTTTGACTCGTGGAATCTTTCGGGAAAAAGGGCTGGGTGAAAGGGCCCTTTTTCCCCGCTCAATGAGGCTCGTTGAAAGAATTTCTAAATGAATTTACAAAAAAAAAAAGACCAACAAGCTGACAAAACAAGAACACAGAGCGACAATAAAAACATAAACAATCATACACATAAAAAAACAATAACCACATCTCCCCCTAGGTTCTTTATTTAACAATAGGTCTTTTGTGAATCAGCGCGAAGCTGAACGGACCCAGAAAGGAAACATATTCTAAAGATTTTTCCAACATCACGAACGAGAAGTCGCGTTTCGTCGTTTATATTTTCGTATAAACATCGCGAAAGATTCATTACAATATTTAGAACCAGTAAGGCTAATATTTTCGACCAAGCGAGGCTCAGCGGACCCAGAAACTAAACTAATACAGTCATTTTCCGCCATAAATCACATTCGGTCAATTTCTCCCCTCTTTCTGGCTAGATTTTAACCTTCAAGATTTTTCCACGCATTTTCATGGCGTGTTTTACGGTTTAAGCAAACAATTGTGAACCAATACAGGTTGATTTTGTGACAGCGAGGCTGAACGGACCCCGGATACGAGATCCCTTGGAAAATTTCAATTCTGTTCAACGTTCAGCCATACTTGCGTGTTTATCGTTAGATTATAATTATCCAGAATTTTTCACGCCTTGTGCCCGCATGTTCAAGGCTTAAGCGAGCTATCTTGAACCTACACATGTTGAATGAGTGGCACCGCGAGGCTCAACGGACCCAGGATACGAGATCTCTTGGAAAAATTCAATTCATTACACCATTTGGCCATACTTGCATTTCATCGTTTGATTATAATCATCCAGAATTTTTCACCCCTTTTTCTGGCATGTTTAGAGGCTAGGGGAAGAATTTCTAACCAATATAAGCAGTATTAGTGACAAAGCGAGGCTGAACGGACCCAGGAGACGAGATCTCGTAGACCATTTCAATTCAGAACATCATTTGGCCATACTTGCGTTTTATCGTTTGATTATAATCATCCAGAATTTTTCACCCCTTTTTCTGGCATGTGTAGGGTTTAAACAAACAATGTTGAACCTTTACAACCAGAATTTGTGATAAAGCGAGACCAAACAACCCAGAAAACGAGATCCCTTGGAAAATTTCAATTTTGTCAACGTTCGGCTATTATCGTCTGTTTATCGTTAGATTATAATTTTCCAAAAATTTTCACCCCTTTTTGTGGCATGTTTAGAGGTTAAGGAAACAATTTGTAACCAATATAGGCAGAATTAGTGACAAAACGAGGTTGAGCGGATCCAGGATACGAGATTTTCGGCAAATTTCAACTTTTTGCAACATTCGGCCGTGTTTATCGTTAGATTATGATCTTCCAGAATTATTCTCGCATTGTCCTCGTATGTTTAGCACTTAAGCAAACTATATTGAACCCGTGCTGGTTGAATTTGTAACAATGCGAGGCCGAACGGACCAGAAAGATATTTTGGAAAAGCTCAACTCTGCATGAGTGGAAAATTCCTTGATTACTTCGTCCCAGAGTCAGTTCAGCCTCTTTTTGTCAAAAAATAGAAGCTAAAACTGTTAAACATAGTTTATTTAAACGCTCAAGTGGCATTAGAAGTCGATTGAAAATGCCTGAAAGTTTTGGAAGTTTATTTTCTGTGATAAAAATTGACTTTGCCTGCGACTCTATTATTGTTGTACAAAGTTGAAACTTACAACTCAAACTCGTGTCCTAGGTCCGTCCGGTCTCGATTTGTCAAAAAACTTAATGTAATCTTACAATTTATAGATTGTGAGGTTTATTCATGGCTTATTGTTTTCTTTAAAGTACGAAAGTAAATATGAAAGGGGAAATATGGGTGCAAATTTTTTAGTGTGGTGGTATTTCCAGTGTCCAGGGTCCGTTTAGCCTCGCTTAATCAAAAATGCAAGATAAATATGCTCAATATGTCTGGACGTAACCCTCAAGAAGTTTATACATTGATTATTTTGACCAAACATTTTAAGATAAAGACAAAACTTAAGAAATATGGACCCACATGTTTCATGGTAGAAAATTCCGAAATGTTTTTAGTACCTGGGTCCGTTTGGCTTTGCTTTGTAGGAAATAAAAGTGAAATTGTTCAATATGTTTAACTCAAACCATAAAAAACATAATATATAGATTCTTTAGCCGAAAAGTGAAAAATTAACGTCAAAACATGAGAAATAGCAAAATCAGTTGTTTCGGGTGAAAAATTCTTGTATTATTTTAGTTCTTGGCTCGTTTTGCTTCGCTATGCCAAAACTGTAACGTGTTCTTGTTGAATTTGTATGGATAAAACGCTGAAGAAGTGAATTATTTCGGTTTTAAAGTGAGAAATTAACGACAAAACCTAGAAAATGTGGGCTCTTGTTTATCAGAATAAAAGATTCCAGCATTATCTCAGTTTCTGGGTCCGTTTAGCATCGCTTTTTCAAAAATGTTTGCTGGAATTGTGCAGTATGCTTGGATTAAAACGGCCAGAAGTCTGTGATTTGATTATTTNATCAGAATCAAAGATTCCGGTATTATATCAGTTTCTGGGTCCGTTTAGCATCGCTTTTTCAAAAATGCATGATAAAATTGTGCAATATGCTTGGATTAAAACGGCCAGAAGTCTGTGATTTGACTATTTTGACTTTAAAGTGAGAAATTAATGACAAAACCTAGGAAATGTGGGTTCTTGTGCGTCAAAATGAAAGATTTTGGAATTATCTCAGTTTCTGGGTCCTTTTAGCATCGCTAATCCATCAACTGAAATTTTCAAATGTCCTGGGACCTTTGGGCCTTCTTTGGAAGGCTGATTTGATACAGGAAAGTCAGGATTGAATTTTTCACGATCAACTTTTCTAAGGTGGTTGTCCTGTTTACCGGACGGATAAATGCAAATCCTCCAGGTTGTCCAGCAATGTCAGCCTGTCAGAGGGCCCACGGGGAACGGGAGGAGGCCAATTTGTAAACACGTCCATTCAGGACCGGATAAAAAAACAAACAAATAAAAATGTAAAAAAAAAGGAGCGGCGCCCACATCGTTTCTGTGTCGCCCGGGATTGAAAAATTGAAAAGTAAAAAGGCTCCTTTTTCATTGCCGGGGCAAAAGGAAGACTCGGATGACCAGGCGGGCCCGCCCCGCCCTCGGCCCATTTAAATAAACCGACCGACTCTGGTGAGATGATGAATGGAGTGTCACTCCGGGACAGGGGCATCGTTTACGAAGGCTCAGGGGACTTTTATGATTTAAATTCCACGAGATGTTTTAATAATGGGCGGATGGGCTTGGAGGAGAACACTCGGAATAGTCGTCAAGAGACAGGAATGACGTCTCTCGGAGATCCAGGAAGTCCATCTGCGACTGGACTCTTGAACTTGCCAGCGAGGCTTTACGGACCCAAGGGTAAAAAGACTACTAAAAAAAATTCAAAACTTTCACATTGCTACACAACAAGTTGTATTTCACACTCGCGAGGATAACTGGACCCAAAAACGAAGACAATCCAGAAATATTCTATCCTGAAGATCATGACTCCCACGTTCCTTAAGTGGTGGCGTTAATTTTTCACCTTCAAGTCCAAAAACTCGATGAAACTTCCTCAGGGTTTGATCTAAACATATTGAACGAGAATGGCTTATCTTTTTGACAAAAGGAAGTTGAACGGGCCCAGGAACAACGATAATCCAAGAATTTTGCACTCAGAGTAGTGAATGAACATATTTTTCTTAGTTTCGTCGTAACTTTCACATTTTTTCATCAAAATAATCAACTCATCAACTCCTTAATGGGTTAAGCCAAGTGTTTGGATTAATTTTAACTTGTATTTTTGAAAAGCGAGGCTAAACGGACCCAGGAAAAAAAGATAATCAAGGAATTTTTCATTCTAACAAACATCAATCCACATTTTTTAGGTTACCAAAAATATCAACGCATTAACTCCTTAATTTTTTGTTCCAAATTTATTAAATCAAAACAGCTTATATTTTGAACAAAACGAAGCTGAACGGACCCAAGAACAAAGATCATCCATGCATTTTTCAACCAGAAAAACAGGAGTCCACAAGTCTTTTGTTTTGTCATTAATTTCTTATTTACAACCAAAAATATCGACGTATGGACTCCTTGATAGTTTGATCAAAACTTATTAAATCAAACAGTTTATATTTTCAACAGAACGAGGCTAAACGGACCCAGGAAAAAAAGATAATCAAGGAATTTTTCACCCTAAAAAACATCAATCCACATTTTTGAGGTTACCGAAAATATCAACGCATTAACTCCTTATTTTTTTTTGTTCTAAATTTATTAACTCAAAACAGCTTATGTTTTTGACAAAACGAAGCTGAACGGTCCCAAGAACAAAGATCATCCATGCATTTTTCAACCAGAAAAACAGGGGTCCACAATTCTTTTGTTTTGTCATTAATTTCTCACATTAAATATGAAATAATCAACTCATCGACTCGTCACTGCTTTAACCCAAGCATATTAAACTATTTTAACTTGTATTTTTGAAAAGCGAAGCTAAACGGACCACGAAACGAATATAATTCAGAAATTTCCCACCAAGAAAAATTTGACTCCACATTTTTTACGTTTTACCTTTTATTTCTCACGAAAAAAATAAGATATTCAAAACCTGAACTTTGTCAGGGTTTGCTTTAAACAAAGAGAAAGAAAACAGCATATAATTTGACAAAGCGAGGTTGAACGGACCCAAGAACAATGATAATCCAGGAATCATCCACCAAGTAACATTTGCCTCCACAATTTTCACGTTTTCCGGTTATTTCTCATTTTAACGCCAAAAATATCA